CGATTCCACGTCGATCATGGTCTTCAATTTTCCATGGACTTCATCACGGACCTGCCATCATCGAACTCATTTGACAGCATCTTTGTCGTGGTAGATCGGCTTACAAAAATGGCGCACTTCGTCCCTTGCAAGAAGACATCATCCAGTGAAGTCACAACTAGGCTCTTTCTCAATAATGTGTATCGATATCATAGACTACCAGATGATATCGTATCAGATCGAGGAACCCAATTCGTATCAAAGTTTTGGAGATCTCTCTTTGAGATATTGAAGGTGGATATCAAGCTTTCTTCGACTTTTCATCCTCAAACTGATGGTCAAACGGAACGGGTGAACCAAGTCTTGGAACAATACTTACGATGCAACATCAACTATCAGCAAGACGATTGGACCACATATCTATCGCTAGCTGAGTTTACATATAACAACACCCTCCATGCGTCGACTCAATACACACCATTCTTTTCCAACTATGGGTATCATTCAAAGCTTGATTTATTGAGTCCATCAATAAATAACAATCCAGTAGCTGAAGGATTTGCGAAACAACTATCAGAGCTTCAAAATACGTTGAAGCTTCAATTACAATCCGCTCAAGAATCCTACAAGGCGTCTGCAGATAGATTTCGAAATCAAGCACCTACTTTCAAAATTGGAGATAAAGCATGGCTTCTTCGACAGAATATCAAGATCAAGCGACCATGTGATAAGTTGGACTATCGAAGATTGGGACCATTTATCATCCAAAAGCAAATCAATCCAGTGGCGTACCGTCTGGAATTACCAACTTCTATGAAGGTACATCCGGTCTTTCATGTTTCTTTGTTGGAGCCTTATCAAGGGTCATCTTTTCCTGGAAGAGTGCAATGTCCGCCACCTAGTATTGAGATCGAGAACCACGAGGAATACGAGGTTGAAAAGGTACTCGATTCTCGACAAAGGTGGGGCAAGTTGGAATATCTTGTTCATTGGTGCGGCTACGACATTAATGAGCGAACATGGGAGCCAACTGAAAATCTCACCAATGCACCGCAAAAGATACAGGAGTTTCATCAACAACATCCTCATAAACCTAAGCTAGTTCAATAATAGCTTCTTTCTGAAGCTTGCTCACCCAAGAATATAAGAAAGGGGGAGAACACTACCAAAATTCGTAGTTGATGTAGTTATTTTCTCCAAGATAAAATAGAATTTTTTCAGTAGCCATAGTTTGGTCTTTTGATATGGATAGCCAAGAGATAGATACTATGCCAGTCAGATTATCTCAACCAACTAGTTCACGAAGGCGACCCCGAGATAAAGAACCACTTGCACCATGACGACGACGGAGGATACCAAGTAACCGATCACCGGTGATTGTATTTGAGCCCGAACCTGCTTACGATGGTCAACTAGAAGGCATATTTGCAGGACAATTTCACAATGAAGATACAGAAGTTCATGCTTGGTCAGAAGTTGAAGGAGTGGGCCACTACCATTGGCTTCAAGGGTCGATGAACCACTTACCTCATGAACAACAGTTGGAGTTCATAGCAGACGTTATGCGACAGATCTTCATTTTCTTGCGTTAGTACTGATTGACAATAACATTGCTTCTCAGAGACCTCGAAGCTAAAAGAGGGAGTGATGTTAGGGACATAGTCCTTAGAACCTTTTAGAGACAAGTTTCTAGAACCTTCTAGAGACAAGCTTCTAGAACCTTCTAGAAGCAAGTCTTTGGAACCTTCTAGAAGCTTCTTAGTTGGTAGGAAATGTTACGGACATAGTCCTTAGAACCTTCTAGAGATAAGTTTCTAGAACCTTCTAGAAGCAAGTCTCTGGAACCTTCTAGAAGCTTCCTAGTTGGTAGAAGTTGCTTGAAAAGCTTCCTAAATAGGAGTATATATTGGAATCGAGGCTGAAGAGTTCTTCAGTCTCGACAACACATCTCTTGGAGCTCTAGCTCACCTCTTTGGTGTTGTTCTTGTATTCATCTGATTAATCTAGTTCTTGCCAGTTCTTCTTGAACTTCTTGGTAGATATCAAGTCTGTATTCTGTATCCGTGACAGCAACACATGGCTAACTTGTTGGCCATGTTTTTAACCTATCAACCATCAATAGACATGTAATAAGGCAAAGCTACATTTATAAAGCTTCTAAGAAGCTTTATTAGAAGATATCATCAAATTTATCTACTTTTACTTACTTCTACTTACTCATATTATCTAGATAATTATTATAATAATTATGTATATCCATGATTCTTTGCTATTATAGTCTTATTTATTCCACCCATTCTAACAAGATATAATGTCTTAACTTTATTTGCAAATTATTATCTCATTTATGATATATATTGTAATTTATAGACATGTAGTAAGACAAAGCTCCATCTATAAAGCTTCTTAGAAGCTACTTTACAAGATATCATCAAATTTATCTACTTTTCTTTACTTCTACTCATTCATATTATCTAGATAATTATTACAATAATTATGTATGTCCATGATTCTTTGCTATCTTGCTTATTCCATCTATTCTAACAAGATATAATGCCTTTTCTTTATTTGCACATCGTTATCTTATTTATGATATATATTGTGATCTATCAAATATTTTATATATATACTATGTATGCTTTTTTTATAAAAATATTATTTTAAAAAATTAGTTCTTAATTATCCATATTATTTTTTCTTTATATATTTTTTATTTAATATGATATCATATTTATTTTGATTAAAATATAAAAAGTAGAAATATCTCTTAACAATAAAAATTTTAAATCTTTTACTATGTATATTCTAAAATAATATAAAATACTATCTATAAAATTCCTAATTCAAACCATTGCTAAATCTCAAATTTATTTATTTAACTTTTGATATCAAAAATATATATTAAACTTAAGTAAGGTTTCTATACATTTGTATATATATACAAATGTATAGATATATATACTTGTATATACAAAATGTGTAATTAATTGCTTAGATGCCTTTCCTTCATATGTACATGTTTAACTCTGTTATTATTGGTCTTCGTTGATCATGAGAATTGGCTACTTTAAGGAATATGTCTTCATGCTCATCTTCCCTCTTCACAAATAAAAAAATATTGCTTTGAACCAAATAAATCATGAATAAACAACTTCTTAGAATGCTTTCTAATAAATGTTTTCACATGTATCATAAAACTTTAATAGCAAAATGAATAAATGACAGATCCAAACGATTAACTAAAAACTTATATATTGTATTTCTTATATTTGTAATACCATACAAAAAGATCTAATCTATTTTATCCATCTTGACGACACCTAAGTTCTGCTCCGCTACAAGGTCACAAATTGATTGCCAATCCCAATCTTGAGTACGTAAATGCGGCAGGCGAGGCACATTCCAATGCAGTACAACCATGTAATTCAAAACTTGAGTCCACAAAGGAATCATTTGTTTCATTTGCCAACATACTTCCACATTTTACCTTAAACCTGTCTATAAACAAGATTGAAAACATGGCCATGTCCAAAGTGTTCATCAAGAGTAATTCTGGGGTTCATAGTAGGAGTTGACACAGCTTTCACAAATAATTCTCCAGCCGAAGTATGAGAGCATTTGGCGTTTACCTGACAATTCTATCATTAGCCAATCTTGCATCCTGCTCCAAGTTTCAGACGCCATCTGTTGCACTGGGTCAGTCTGATGTTTGTAACTTAAGGTTTCTTAGCTTGCAAGATGTCAATGAGCTGTCAAATTTGATGTTTTCAACGCAACATGGGCCCGCCTTATCAAACAACAAATTGGTCTCTCCAACGTTTTCTATCTTGTAATTGCGTACTTTTGCAGCTTTGGAATCATCTTCCTCTTTATGATCGTCAACCCATACATATCTCCACCCCTCGTTCTTGACACGCAGGTTCCTGAGTGTTACCTATTTTCGGTCGCAGCTCAAGTTCAGGAAAATCTCAACATGAAATAGTATTCAATACCAAATATTTTGCAACAATCATCTGGAAGATTTTTCACTTACAATTACTCCAGGAACGGTGTGCACGAAAAGTGTGCCGTCCAACTGCAAGTTTTCTATGACTATGTCTGGCGCTGAAAGCACGAGAGAGGATGCGAGTGTGATGGAGCTCCTCTCCTTCTCATACAACATCTTCTTCAGCACATCGGAGCTTGTAAGAGCCCAACCTGGGTGCCACACAATGCGTGGCCACATTTGAACTTTCTGGGCGTGGCCGAAGTCAATCTCCATGCCACCTTCAACGTACGCTCCTACCTGTGAAAGGAAACATTTAAAAAATATGGAGGGCTGTAATTTGCAGATAACAAAACTCTCAGAACGTGAGGTCAAAGCAAAGTCTAAGTGGGTCAAGTGCGAGATATGAATTACGTTTTGTAGAATGAGACAGTTGGCTTTGTAGATTGCCATCTCACTTGAAGCTGGACTAGAACACTCTGGAACCTATAATCACCCCACAAACCAGTACTTTGAGAACATTCCATCAGGAAACTCTTTTTGTTCTATGAAGTAGAAGCGGTAGATGAAATGAGCTCTTTAAGTGAGTACCGACATGTATTGGTGACAGAAACTACCTTCGCTGCAGACGGGGCGCTGTTTTTAAGTGGAGCATAGATGAGCCATTCGTCCATTGTCTGTATTTTGAAGTTTCCACGTCAGATGTTTGTAAATTTGGCCAGCGGTCAACTTGCTACACTTCTTCAACATTAACACACTTCCATATGATATAAACTAAAGGTCTTCCACACAATCGTTGTCATAAGGTGCATTTGATGGAGACCTTCAAACACTTCTCGTGCTCTCTAATGCACCAGTATTCTTACCAGACGTATATGAGTGTATGTCATGATCTATTCACCAGAATGAAAAAACACTTACAGTGAACCCAACTTTAGCTGACGGTTTCAGATTTCTTGTGTAGTCTTGCATCCTGGTCTCCAACCTCATTGCGCTTCGAGCATCACATCATATCCTCCCTCTTCCAGTCTGTCGCAGAGAGGACCAAATTCAACACAAGCCAGTTGAGGAAACAACCAAAACCTACCTCAATACTTGAGGCATGGACTGCAGTTCTATATTGTTAGGACATTTGTTCCTACTGTTAAAAGTTTACATCGTTCAAGGTATCAACCTAATTCCTCTTACTGTGCAGAGCTTGTCTTACAGTGGGAGGACTGTGGGCATGTCTCTGCCTTGGGTATTAGTGAGCTCGTCCAAGTACGGCCCTGGCTTCAAGACCATCTGCACTGAGGGAATCATAATAGACCTCTTACTTGAACTGAGAGTATGAGTTCACTATTCGGGTGAGTGGAAGATGTGTTCACTGCATCTTAACGTTCCAAACTATGCTTACTTGGGTGCTTCATACATACACAGATGCAGAAATTAGATTTTTAAAAAATATATCAATAATACAAAAATAAAAAATAAAACCTACACATCGCAAAAACCGAGACAGATGATGCAAGAACCATAATTTGCTTCCTGCATTCCAAATGCATAACACATACTCTCCACAATCTATCCAATGCAAACCTAGCAACAACATTCACTTTCTGTCGAAGTTGCTCATGAAATACCTGATCCAATCCAGTCGGGAACGGCGAATGTGCAGTTGTAAAATCATTCAAATCCATGTGGCGGTGTCCCATCGAGGAAAGCACTTGATGTATGCAGTCAATATTTGCCACCATCCTAGATCCTGATGCCAGCCATTGTCTTTCGTATAGATGTATCAATCGGTGAGAACTGTTAGTAGAAATAAACGAAATACAAAGCCTACTGACTTGAAAATAATTGAATGAAACGAGCACTTCCATTGTGTTCAAGCACTCCCCAACATTCAACAAAAGTGAACCACTCAAAATGTCCTCACAAAAGGCTTGTTGTGAACCTCTGCAGTACTTCCTGCTAATCCCAAATTAGCCAATGGCTTCTTCAAGCGAGGCGACAACCAGAACCAAGCCTCAGTTTCGCAGGATGAGGGCGAACAGATGAATGGAGGGTGTACTGTTTGGTACTTGTAAACAACGAAGCACAAGAAGAATGTCTAACCAGATTTGTTGCTGAATTGAACAATTCCAGCCCCCGGGGATTCTCCCTTCCGAGCGGAGGCAAGGAGGTTGACGTCAAAGTCGCAGAGCATACTTGCTCCTAGTAGTGCTGGTGTTGCCTGGGACCACCGCAAACAAATTTTAGATGTGCTGTCAAATTCTCGAGTTGAACATGACATCCAACACTCCACGTGCTCTGATTTCTCATAGTAATTTTCCACACAAGGTATTCCACAACAAGGAGATTAGATAAGTTGATGCCTTTAAAAGACTCATACTGACGAAATTATGACCAACACAAGTCATCACAAACATGAAAGAGATGAACAGTTTAATACTTTGAAAGTCAGGCCATTTCCTTCCTCAAAAATAACCACCCAGTTTCGACCTTCTTTTTTCCTGCTTTCATAAACATTGCATGATTAACGTGGGCCCAAACCCACCAACAAGCTGAACAGGAAATTATCAATCAAGCCAGAATAGCGTACAGCAGTTGAATCGTGGAAAGTTATTGACCATGTCTGAAGCAAGCCGCTGGAAAAGAGTATAGCGTGTACTTCACCACTGCCACCAGGCATTGTCTGTATAAACACTTGAACTCCACCTCAACAATCGCAAGAATGCGGCGTTTTGACAACGACAAAATGAATTTACTATCCCATGCCAGATTCGAAGCAGGTATTTGACGAGCAAGAGCAGTTTGAAGTTGAAGTTTGTGGGATATAAAGGGGCTGTCTGTAATATTGCTTCCCAGACTTACAAACTTAAAGACAATAAGATGTAAGGATATCGATTACCTTGATGAGATAAGGATCATTGGAGGAGAGCAAGAGGTTGGCTGTTTTTCGGTTGAGACAGGGGGCAGTATTCTCCTGCAGAATATGGAGTTAATTCTTACATTTTCAAATTCGACTGTAAACAAGTAGAGACAGAGTTAAAAGGACTGCTCAATCTGCCAACCTGCTTCAACAGATAAATTTGATCAGGACACATGCCGAAGCAGTCATTCGTCGTTAACAATTTTTTGATTCTTGAGTGAGTATAGTCGGAGCTCATAATCACAAACGGTATTTTTGCTGCCTTGAAAGCCAACCTCTTTTTCGCACTATGTTGAATTGCCAAAATACTCTTGATGTAGAGCTCTAAAAAGCAGATCCCTGTGGCAGACTCTGTCGGCAACTCGAGCTGCCCAGAGCGCACAAATGAATATATTTCGGAAAGTAACGACACATCCAAGTGACTAACGAAGTGACTTTAACATTAATTATAGGGGTCTGAGCCGGAAGAAGACGTCGGTGAGGATGCTCCCATGTCAGACCGAATACAACAGTCGTGATCCAATCAGCTGGTGAAGAGGGAGTAAGAGATTATGTCGGGAATTGCTTCCACATTCTATACTCGGACCACGTATACACCAACTTTGTTGCGACGTTAAGAAAAATAAAGTTGTAAGGGAAGATTTACACCTTGATCTCATTCCCACGATTGAGTCGTTCTGCCGATCCTCCAGCCACCAGAACAAAAGCAACTCGTGCGAACTCTTTCAGACCAGCTTCCTCATATTCCACGTACTTTCGGCTTCCATACTTTAATATCACTCCCTCTGCAATCTGGTATCTCATATCCACCCAGTCCAGCAATTCCGAGAGCTAACTGTCATCTATATTGATTCAAATTCCTCCAACATAACGATTATAAGGTTGATAGGCCCCTATTTACACACTCTAAAGAACAAGCATTTGAGAAAAGATTCATGGTTGCAAGTTCAGTCCTCCCTCTCTCTCCAAACGGTTTTATGATTTGTTTTCAATGTGCAAGATGCACAAGAATGTAGTGGAAATAGCTCAAGTTATTTGCAGCACTTACAGATGGAGTGCAACCTTCAAACTCCTTATGGCGTTGGTTGGATCCCACGTATTCCTGGAGTGTCTTCGCTCTTCGGACGTAAGCTGCTAAGCCACCAGGGTACCTTTCACTGAATTTTTCGACCTGAGAGATTCATTTGCTCATTGTAAGACTTTCAAATTGCAGAACCTTTTCATCATGAGCATTCCAAGGTAAAATGAAGTAGAAGGCAAAAGCGGAACAATTGCGCGTGGATCTGAGAACCCTTGCTTACCTGCTCAGAGAAGCGGCGCTTGTCATCATCATGCTCACCAGGAGGCGGCCAATGCTCAAACAAATGACTCTGTCCCTCCCGAAGCAGCGTCCGAACGGAGCGTCTCTGTACATGCAGGAATGGTACATAAATACATTAAGATCTGCTTTTGAAATAACAGGAATAAAATAAAAACAAGGAGTCCATTGTCCTCTCCTCCATCCAAAACGGTAGATGCTGCGGAATTGACAATGCACTAGGAGATTTGAGATAAATTCAAAGGTCAACACTCGTGGAATTCTGGACAAAGGTCGAGGAAGCAAACAAACTAGTTACACAACCCCGAGAATTGAGAATCAGACTTAAGAACGTAAACAACAGCAGGGATGCCACGATGAGACGATCACATTCAAGGTGGTTCGTCTTCTCGGCGTCGGCCCAGGCGTGCTGTTCAGATGACTTTCTTCAATGGAACCTCTCTCGTCCTCCGTCAGCATGGCAGAACCTGGATGAAGACCAGGCAGAGCCCCGACTCTCGCCTCCAACAAGCCTCGTCTCTTCGAAACCCTTGCCACCACTCGAGAAACAGCCACAAAAATCCGAAACTCTTGGCTAAACTGCCTCTATTCCGTCCAAAAAGAAGGAGGAGATAGACAGCATAGTGCGAGAGGAGCACATCGAAGGCAGACAGCAACTCTGCTTTGAAGTTGCGTCCGAAGGTATCGCTGAGGAAAAGCTCCAGCGGTCAGTGAGCAGCAACATGATCCCAAAGGGTACAAATCCTCAAGAATCCGTAGTCAGTTTGAGCCTTGAACCTGGATTAGTGAAACACTTGAACGCTTGAATGGGCTTCGCTATGCGTGACGCTCCGCGACTCGATTCGTCCCCCACGGAGTTCCACTGACCCGCAAAGTGTACACGACGGAGTGTTTTATTCATCAGCCCCATTCGCAAAACCGCTTTGCAAAGCACAGTCCCCCAAGCAGTCTTCACTGGAGAGACACTACAATTTCTACTTCCCTTATGGACTCACTCGAGAGACATTGAGCTTCAATTGGCCGAGTCAATTCAATCCCGTCCCGTTATGTTTAGGTTTTAGAAAACATTTGTTCCAATAAATATCGAGAGTAGTGTTGATTTTTTAGGTGGGGAATCCTGGCTCTGGATCAGGTTGAGTGTTTGTGCAGGAGGACGCCCATGAAAAGGACTTGTTTGGTATACAAGAACTCATGTCCAAAGTTTCAAGAAACAATGTAAGGAAGAAGTAAAAGAATTGTGTTTTGTTGGCATGGGTGGAATTGAAAATATCAGATTAGAAACGATTACATTAGAGAGTACCATCACATATATGATGCATCATTTTTTGTTGACAATATCTCAAAGAGTGGTAATATTTTTACATGTAAAATTCTAAAATAACTTAGTATACATCAAAATCAAAAGAATTTGGAAATAACACTAGATATGATAAGAAAACTCATTGTTAAAAAATATCATCTTGGTCTTGGATATTTTGAAAGAATCAAATTCAAATTTAAAATATTATACTCGTAGGATTACTAAGTACAAGCAAAAATTACAAATTGATAGTAATAATGTAAAATCAAACATTGTGTTAATATCATTTTACAATCATTTAAAAAAAATATAAATTCTTTTTAATATAATTTTATTAATATAATTAGACATATTTATTTTAAAACTAAATATAATTAATTAAAAATTAAAAATTAAAAATAATATTTCTAAATTTTATTATTTAATAATTTAACTTAAAATTAAGACATAGGATATTTTGTTAATAACACATTTGGAACTTTAATCAAGAAGGAATAGATTCAAGCACTAAAGACTAAGATATGTATAATAATAAAAAAATAATTAAAAACACAATAATCAATGATTATTGTCAAAAATAAGAAGATTAAAAGGCCACAAGAAGAACTAACTAAAAAAATAAGTTGACAAGACTTAAAAAAGCCTGAGTCTTATTTCTACTTATAATACTTATAAGATCTAAGGCTTAGAGTCCTAACCTAATATGTCTTGTCATACAAGCTAATAGATGATGTCTTAGCTAAGTCTCAAGAAACTCCTCAAAAAGACTTATGATATTGCAGAACTCCAAGATTAGTAAATTAAGCTAATTTTAAATTATTTAATTGAACTTTCATAATTTTATTTATTTTTCCTTGTAACTATATTCATCTCAAAACTTACTACAAAAATATAATTGTTGTGATAATTACATAGAACCTTAATCAATAGGAGTGATCTTTTGATAAATCATTGTTTCTATTCAAGAAAAGAAATAATTGTTTAAAGTGACTAATAGCAACCAATTTCAATGAAGCCTATGGCTTAATACATAGGAAAAGGAAGGAGCTACTGAGAAGGCCCTCAAAAATAATTCAATTTTTTATTGAGGATTGACTAAAAAGTGAAACCTCTAATGAGACTTAAGAAGATAAATTGTAAATAAACTTTCAGAGAATCGATAGAACTCTCATTATGTAGAACCATTATTATATGGTAACACAACTATATGGTAAAAAATAAAAATATAGATGTTATTATAGAAGAGCCTACTAGAAAGATGTAATAAATAAACAATGATAAATTATAAAAAGATAGTAAAAAGCTTAGTCTTAATGCTAATTTTTATAGAACGAACTTCTATTTACTTTATAGAAGCATAAATGATTAAAATTAAAGTAAATGAGATAAGAAATTAATATTTATATGTTTAGGAAAGAATTTATAATATGTTAAAAAAAAATTACTTCAAATTACCAAAAATTGATATTCAAAAGGGACAAGTTATCAACTTGGATTGAAATCACACCTTCAAGCACAAAATTGTGCATCTATGGCAATTCCAAAGTTATTTTGCAAATCAAAGAGAGGAATTTGAGAAAAAACTTTATAGAATTTTTTTAAGAATTAAATTTGGAAAATTTGAGTTTGTAATAACTCTGTAAGAGCTTTGCAAAGTTAAGATTGTTTTTAGTGAATCTGGTTTTGTGAAATAAAAAAGAATCTATATATGAAAGAATTTTGTAAGTTTGGTAGTAGATCTATAAGTAAAATTTTTTGAGTATGTGATTATAATTGTTCTTATCATGTGTTGTAAATTTGAGCATGATCTAACAATTAGATAGAATATTATTGAAGTTCAAGTGGATTAGGTTCTTAGAAATAGGGCTTTGAGGATTAGTAATGGATTCTAAGATCTTTAGAAATTTTTTAGTTGGAATATAATGAAATTTATGTATATAGATGGTAGACTTGATTTTTAACATACAAATAAATTTTGAAAGGTATTTAATAATGTAATTAAGAAATTTTGGCTCAACAAAATCAGCATTAAGATTGGAGAAGGATGCAAGTCAATATCCAAGTAGATTTTAGGATTTATCTTCTATTTCGTAAGTTTAATCTTCTTAAAAATATTTATACTTATTGCTAGCTTAGTTTTTGAGAGGTATACAAAATTTAAATTGAAATCAATGATTTAATTATTAGTTATGGAAGTTTCAATCTGCCATTAGATTTATTAAGAATTTGTTTAAGATCTAGTGTTTGATTGTAGTTTGTCTAGGACTTGATTAGAATTTGTCTAGAATTTGATTAAGATTTATTTAGGATTTTTCTAGAATTTGTCTAGGATTTGATTAGGATTTGATTTGTATTTATCTGGGATTTATCTAAGATTTGATTAGGATTAAATTAGGATTTAATTATGATTTTTTTGTATTTCTTTTATAATTTATTTAAAAATTTAATAGGACTTAATCAATATTTGATTATATTTATTAAGCTTTATTTATAATTTATATAAGATTCTATTAGAGTTGTTAGGACTTATTGTTGCAATTATCTTTTATCTTCTACAACTAGGTATTTGGTGCATTTTCAAGTAAGACTTTATATAATACAAAATTATTTAACTACTATAGAAGATTGAATTGGATTATCTAGTCCTTGAGCTGTGTCTCAACCACATTAAAGTTGGCAATCAAAGTAAGTCTCAAATGAAGCATATTTTGGAATTGCAACTAAAATGGGAGATTTTAAATAAAAATTACTAAAAAAAACTCTACATATTAGATTCTAAGAGATAGGTATGAAAACATGGTAGAAATGCAATTATAAGAATAGAATATGATAGATGAGCAAAATAAAATATTAGTGAACTAGTGGCTAAAGTTAGATTAGAAAGGTAGGCTCTTTCAATAGAATAGGGATACATTAGATGTTGGATTTTTTAACTTAGGCCAAACTTGCATTAAAAATAGGAATTGCCAAAGAATTGCAATTGTAAAAAAAGCTAAGGAAAACACACTAAAGTCTAGCTAGAAAAAAGAGTTATATGATAGAAAGAAACTAATAGAAGAAGGGCCTAAGTAATTATTAAACTTTGGCATTTAGGAGTAATTAGTGTTAATAATAGCTACCTTAATAGCTTGCAGCAATAAATAATTTGGAAGAAATGACTATAGAACAACCAACAAGAGCATCTAAACACTTAAAGTATTAGAAATATTATAGAGTTGTTGATTTAACATAAGGCTTGTAAGAATTTTTGTAATGGAATTACAATTCATATTTGGTTTTTTAGTATTTGACAGCAATGTCATACAATTTTAACTTGAATAGATATATTAGCATTGATGGACTTACAAAATAATTGTATGTATGCCAAATTAGTCATTTTTGATATAGTGTTGTTGAAGTTTTGAAAAGGGAGGAGATAGATATGTAGCAATTTGAAGAAGAAAAGAAACACACTTCATTTTCAAATTCTATATTTTGGCAATGTTTTTTAGTAGCTAAAAATATAGAGAGAATTAGGTGCAGTTAATCTCTTATTGGTAGAGAGAGCAATAGGTTTGTAGAAATTTTTATTAGATTGGCAAGTACTATGGAAGGCTATTGTATTAGGAATTACTTCCAATATATATTCTAAAAATTCTTATCAAGAAAATAAAGCTTAATTAGTATTAAAAAAATTATATAAAAAGATAAGACTATAAATAATAAGATAGACTAATAGAATTTATTTTCTTAAGTATAAATATAGTAGAGAAAAATTTATTGAAATTGATGATTTGACATAGAAGTAATTGAATGACACAAGTTGATCATATTTAATGAGAAGGTGAGCTTTTGAATGTCTAAAATTGCCATTGAATATTTTTCTTTTAAAATTTTAAAAGCTTGGATAATATAGTCAATAAGTTAAAATTAAACATTCTACTCTAAAGTTTATAAATCAGGAAGAATGTGTGAAGATGTAGGATTATTATGTCACTAAATAATCTAGTGATTAAATACCTACCTTGAAAAAGAGTTGGTGGTGATATTAGGAGAGACAAAATACCAAAACTTCAACTTTTTCTTATATCTATTGAAGCTTAAAAATCTTTAAACGTAAAGGTGAAATGAATCTCAAAACCAAAATCTATATGATTGAACTAAAAATTCTATCATAGATGCAGCAATTTTATTTACTAAAATCTACACTTCTATGAATAGAAATAAAAGTTCCTTGTGATTATAAAAAAATAATATTGTAGCTATATTAAGATGATTAAAGTATTAAAAATGCTTCTTCTTTGTTTTCCATTGGAAAATATAATGATTTGAAGTTCATCAAACAAATGATTTAGCAAAAATGAGCTTAAACTAATGATAAAGCAAATAACATGTGGTCTAAGTTAAACCATGTGGTTTGATTTTTAAGCTATTTTAGATGTTTCTTACAATTTCTACCTTGCATAGCTTGGTTTCTAAGTAAACTATCACATGCTTTAATTAACTCCTTTGAGTATTGTAGAAAGAATTACTATAATATGGAAGATTCTTTGAAGATTTTAGAATCTTTTTTATTTATCTATGACATCACTTCTTCTTTTTGTAACAAGTTCTACAAGAATCATTGACATTTTTTTTTTTTTTTTTTTTTTTTTTTTCTCACAAGTACAAAAACTTCATCATTTGTTGAAGAGTTCTTATTATAAATATTGCTCTTTGATTTCTAATCAAAAGATGAATAAATCTTATTTTTATCTCAAAAACACCTACAAGATGGTGACTAATGTGATCTTGAGCTTTAATTGAAGGATCCTTCAATTAAAGCTCAAGATAAAGATTTTCAAGCTCCATAAAAATTCAGCAATTTGATATATTGAAGTTGCAACAAAACAAGTACAGAATACAACTTAAAAACTAAATAATCAAAAGATAGACTATATCTTATTAATAATTTTCTTGATTAAGTCTCTCTTCTTTGCATTTGGTTCAATATTAAAGTTCCTTCTTAAAGTTGATTTTGTTAATGTCATGCTTTTGATGTAATGATCTTTAATAGTTTTTCTTGGATCTATAAAGACATCAACAATGAAAGTCTAATATTTTCACTAATGCATTGATTATACTAGATAAAGGTTTTTATAACTTTTTCTTAATATTATAACCCTTCTAATATATAATATATTTTAATTAACCAATTCTTATTTGTAAATCAAGAATTTTTTAACTTCATATTTAACTTCATAACAAATTTTAATTAAAGGTCGAAGTAGTAGTTTTTTTTCAAAATTTTGAATGATTATATATTTTTAATAAAGAAATATAAATGATTAGATAGATTTTTATAGTTGCCAAACGTTTGAAATAATAACTAATTGGATTAATTTATAATTTAATATTATCAAAAAAAAAATCAATTTTTTTTTCTAATTATTAATTTATTACATAAAATAAAATATGTCATCTTGATTAATCTATTGGATATTAAAAAAATTGAATATTTTAAATTAGAGCTTCAAAGATTTATAATAAAATATATAAATATAAATAATTAGAGGCTTTTAAATATAGGAAGTGAATAAAGAATATAATACTATCAATGTTTTGGTGTATTTTTTCTTGCACAAGTATCACATGATTTTATGAACTCTTTTAAAGATTTCTACACTTAAGGCCATTAATAATCCCTGAATATGAATTCTATAGATTTATTGAAATCAAAATATCTAACAATTAAAAAATTATAATGTAATTGTAAGATGCTTTGGCACATGGAACCATGAGATATATATAAAAATCTATTGTAATAAAGAAATTCCCTTTTGAATTCAAATCCTTTGACAACTTCATAAGGGTCTATATTAATACTAAAATACTTTTTGATACTCAAAGCAAATAGATATTTTTTTGATAGCTTCTTGGATTTTTTCAAAATATTGTGTATCTTTACATAAAGACTAGGTTATTGCTTTCAATTGCACATTGGATGGCTTCAGCTTTATTGACATTTATTGATCTAAAAAGATCATCACTTGCTTTTGGAGCCATACATAATTTTCAAGATAAAGAATTCTAATTTTTTACATTTTTTATTTTTCAATTTTAAATATTAAATAAATATAGTTAAACTATTAAGTAGTACACAATAAATTTTTGAAATACTAAATAAAAATTATACTCTTAATATAAGCTTTTATTTTTTATTTTTTATTTTTTTACAGATAATATAACTATAATTAATTAATTTTATCAAATTCTATGATTTCAAAATTTTATTATTTACATATATATATTCATTTATTTATTTAAAATCATCTAATTGCATATAATAAATCATAATTAATATATTAAAAGTTATAACTTTAGAAATAAAAATTAATATTGTGAAATTTTAGAATATTATGTACTAATCATACATATGTAAACATTCTATTTTCAAATATTTATATTATATTAAAATAGAAATTTAAAACAAGATCAACAACACATTTTTTTTTATATTTATATATATTCTAATGATTGTTACAAGTATGAATCTTTCTTGTGCAATTTGCAAATCAAAACGTTTAGCCTAGAAATAATATTTATTTGCTATCACAAATATTTAAGGACATAGAGAGTTTTAAACTTCTGTGTCTTTATCATTACAAATATACTAATATCCTGGTTTGTGCTGGTGATAAAAGCAACAATATTATTAATAATAAAAGAAAAAATTATCTCTTGAGTAGATTGAAGATATGTGGATACTTTTCACAATGTAACCATGGGGGAAGAAAGCATGACAAAAATTTCACATAAGTATTAAGGGATCAAAAATGCCAAATCACAATTCTATCATAACAATCCTATTGAAATGGTATCTTTGTTCAGCCTGTTGGTCTCCTACTATAAATTAAAAAATTTAAACGTTATTTGATGTTTTTCTTTCGTCTTCCTAAAACATGCTCTAATATGTGTCCCAAATATGAGACCCAATAAAGTCTCCGACTGTACTTCAATGTTTGAGCCGTACCTCACTGCTCAAGTCTCCCGACTAATTTTCAGCTAACAAGTCTCTCGATTCAGAATTAGCGATCAACAATTCACATCGTTAGCCCTTAATGAAATAAAAGTCATTCCAAACTGCGTCAACCTCACAAAATTTCACCCACTATGGACTGAATAAACAAAGCCAGCAACATATGCACGGAATGAGCGCACAGTTCATCGCTTAGTGCTGAACCAAACGCAAAGAAGCAGAGGGGGCTGGCGTGCGTCCTTTGGAGCAATCTCGGTCGTCCCTGCTAGGCAATTGAACGCACAAGATCTGACTGTACGCAGAGCTGCGGAGAGCGAGAACGGTGACGGAAGGACCACACCCTACGGATTCCAGGAAATATTGAATCGGGCCACAAAAACAAGAACAAATAGGGTCGAAAACAACACTGTGCGAAGCAGGTTTAACGTATAATGTAACGGACGACTGCGATGCTCCCATGCAGCATCCCATGCAAATGATCAAACCCAAATCTGGAATACTATTCGCACGACTGGATCTGTTTCCAGCTTTTTCTTGCGGGACTTGATTTAATCACTTTTCACACGACCACCTCAATTAAGAACGTTGCGCAGAGATTACACTATTTATGGCGCCCATTGCCTGACACGGTTACTAACCCCCTCGAATCTCTCAGAGATGAAACCTGAATGTAACCGTAGAATAAACGCCTTCTGGATCAAACAAGCCCTATACCCGCGGAGCACCCTAAGCCCATGAACGTTGTCAGCCTCAAGCGATGGTCTTATTTCCTTGCTTGATGCTGAAAATGAAAAGCATTATTGAAGATGCAACATTTACATTTTGTTAAATTTGTGATTTATCCTAGTTTTCCTTATTTAATCTTTATTATAATTTTGGTGAGTAAAAAGTAATGTTAAAAGTATGTTTCAATCATATCATAATGTAACTAATTTTTAATTTTAGGAATCATATTATTAAATGTGTATACATATATATATATATATATATATATATATATATTTAATAGGATAGAATTAGAGCCCTTATATTTGGGACTAATATATTAGAGTAATGGGACCCTAAATTTTTATAGAAAAGATGGAATTTAATTTACATAGAGGTTTTTTTTTAGATTAGCATCTTAAAAAAAACTAAAATAAAAGAACGTCGTGTGTTTCTTGTAAAGTAAACAACAAAAAATGTATTTAAAGTCCATAGGGTATATCTATTGGTATTAATCTTAGATATTAAATACTTTATATCTTTCTTATTTATTAAGACATTTATTGAAGTTAGGCAATGGGTGACAATTTTGAATCAACTCATAAACAAATAGATGCATAAAAAAATGAGTGCATTCATTTATTAAAGTTGGAGATATTTGTAATAAATGAAATAGATGTTAAAAATGGCCATGCTTTATTTTTCCATTATAAAATAAAATAAAATAAAAACCATTTTGTGACATTTTATTTTCATATGTTTTGTCAGCTTTGAATTAAAATTTCTATGAATTATTTTTAGTATTCTTTCAACAATTTTATGTTCATTTTTATTAGAACAAATAACAAGTGGAAAATAAAGGCATAATAATATGGATTGAAGAGATTATAATTGGAAAGTTTTTGATGATCAACACATATGAACTACTACAAAATGACATAAAAAAAATGCAATTAAAGAGTAAATAAAAAAAGAGTAAGATTTATTTATAGGAAAATATCAAAATGACCTAGGATTTTACTAAATTTACCCATCCGTCATCACAAAGGACATAGAATGTCGGCCTCATTTGCACCATCATTATTGTGAATTGCATTTGGATTGATACAATAGTGAATGTGGTTGGTTTTTATTGGTTGCAGATCCAATAGTATAGAGAAATAAATCAAGAGGTTGTTTCTTTTTTCATGATGGTTAGGATAGGTGGATCAATTTAGTAAAACCCAAGGTCATTTTATTATTTATATATATATATATATATATATATATAAATATATATACATAAAATAATATTAAATTTCACTTTGAATTCAAAAAAAAATTAGATGATGTTAAGACCAAAAACAAACTAAAAGAGAGAGGTAAAAAAAAGAAAAAGAAAAAGAAAAACCTTCACCTAAAATTTAAAATTCCATGCTATGGACAAAGACATATAATTTCCCATGATTCTAGGAAAGTTTTTTTTTTTTTTTTTTTTCGTTTTTTTCATTATTATTATTATTATTTCCAATTTGAATTTTATAGAAATAACTGGAGACATTCAAAACGTGCAACCAAGGCGGGGTAGGGAATATGGACGTAGACTTTTGGGTTTGAATTTTGTCGTGTTTCCGAGGGAGCAGCGAATTGCAGAGCGCTATGACCATGAAGTGAAGCTGCGATGGTGGAGGGTCCCGCAGCGGCTATGGCGATCCCCGAGAATGACAAAGCGAGTTGCAGGGTTTGCGTGGAGGCAGCGAGATGGCCGGTGGTCGGTAGTCTGCTTGGAATTGCACGAGCACTCTGCTCTTGTGGCTCTGTCACCCATGTCGTCGTGCCGTGCTGTTACTGTATTGCGCGCGAGAGTGATTGCAGACCGCGCTCCGCAATAGCTGAATTAGCTAGCTGCATGCGGGCTCTAAGGCGCGGCTTCTAGGATAGAAGGCTAACAATTCGTGATCAGAAATTGGCCTTGTATCAAGTTTCTGTCCGTGGCCATCCTTGTTTCCGGAATCTCTTGCTCGGTGCTGTTGGACTTCGAAGTTGAAGCTTGTGTCCCTCGACCACTGGCCTGCTTCTAGACATTTGCGTGCGTTGTTCCGACTTTCGGGAGGTTGAACCTGCGGTTGTTTACATTCGTCTTAATGCGTAGGTATCTAGTTGAATAGTTTGTCTCGGCACCGTAATTTTGATTTTGGGAGGCTGGTGTTGAGATTTGGAATTGATATCCAAGGTAGGTTACGAACCCTAAGCTAGTGTTGCTTTTTTTTTTGAGGTTTTAGGTGCTGTTGGTGACGATCCTGGCGTCTGAATGTGGCGAACGAATGCGAGGAATAGATTTTTGTAAGATTTCGATGTGACATCGTCACGAGATTCCGAAGTGGAGGACTTGGTGTGTGAAGTTGTAGAAGAGACCTGACGGAACGGAACTGGATGAGATGGGGTCACAGATTGCGACAGTATCGCCACTAGCTAAATACAAGCTGGTGTTCCTGGGTGACCAATCAGTGGGTAAGTTCAATTTTCCTTTCTCCACCACGATTGTCTCAAAATATAAGTAGCATTACCTCGCAACACCTTACACCTATATTGAGCAACTGACTTAACGAGGACTGGTGCTTTCAGGCAAAACAAGTATTATCACGCGATTCATGTATGATAAATTTGACAACACTTACCAGGTTGGCTTCTCTTTTTGATTTTCTTCCCCAGGATACGTCACACTGTACGTGTAATTATCCGACGTTCTTTTAACATTTTGGAGATACTATGCATTCTGAGCTGCAGATTCTTAAAGTTTTTAAACTGGCTCTTCGAGTCCTGGATCGGTACTTGCAACTTCTTGGACACTTCTTGCACTTGACGTTGATAAAACATTTGACTGAAAAATTTGGCAGGCAACCATCGGTATCGATTTTCTCTCCAAGACAATGTATCTTGAAGACCGCACCGTTAGATTACAACTCTGGTAAAGGGCATTGGGACGTGCACGTTAATATGCAATTGAGAGCATTTTTGTCGTTTTGTTCTTTGCTGAGCAGTTTAAGTTGCTGTTTGTTGTGTTTCTTACGCGCCCCTCATTTATCGGTTCCGAAAACACATCAATTGCTTATTGTAGCGTTTGTGGCTGTTATGACCTCAGGGACACAGCTGGACAAGAGCGGTTCAGGAGTTTGATTCCTAGCTACATTCGGGACTCGTCCGTGGCAGTGGTTGTGTATGATGTTTCGAGTGAGTATTTGTTGAATCTTTTCAATGAAAGAGCATTAACACCTGCACAAAAAGTTGTCAAGGTTTGCATCTGTAAAAATTTTTCCATCATTGGAAGAAAAGGAAAAGGAAGATGGTTCGCATGTGCATGGTCCTGCATTCCAAGAGTTGAACACAGCAGAGGACACTCGTACTGACGTATTACCTTTTGAACCGATCGACAGTCGTTTCTGAACACAGTTCGATGGGTTGAAGAAGTTCGAACAGAGCGTGGAAGTGATGTTATTATAATGCTTGTTGGCAATAAGACTGATCTCGTTGATAAACGGTAAGGAGAATATATTAGGAACTGAAATTACTGTATGTTGTAGGTAGATTATCATTAACCCTGAAACATTAAACATCTGGACAGATGCTGTTTCAGCCTCGTTCGTTATTTTTCGTTTCCTACAAGTTGATGTACTTAACCGGAAGGCTTATTGTGCTGAAAATTGTGTCGCTGTTTTTTTCAGTCAAGTATCTGTTGAAGAAGGGGACGCCAAGGCTAACGAATTTGGAGTCATGTTTATTGAAACAAGTTCAAATGCGGGTTTCAATATAAAGGTTAGCATCTTCCTGGTTTATTTTTTTCCGGTTTTTCAATTGTCTTACTATATCTTTTGAGATCATTTACAAATTTCTAGTTAGTGGAGTTGGATGTCTCATGAAAGCTAATTAGTTGTACTCGCTAGTTTGTCTCTCTCGATACTTGAAAAAGAGATTAAAGCTGATTAATTTAATACCATCGAATATCTCATGTTTATTTCTTTGCCTAATACCACGTGCAGGCACTGTTCCGAAAAATCGCTGCTGCATTGCCTGGAATGGAGGCTTTGTCTTCTCACAAGGATGATCTCGTTGATGTCAGTCTTAAGCCAACATCGAATCCGCAGACCGAGGGCAAAGCAGGAGGTTGTGCATGTTGACGAGGTCGAAAGAATGAACAGTCTCTTCTCTTCATGACCTGCACTAAGTCTTGGATGATCCTCTTTTCTAGTGGTAATGTTGTCCTTTTCTGAAACTCCATCACGGTACTGGAAGGTTTTTCAGGAGGTAGTGAGCTGATATCCAATGATCATTACTGCAGGCGCGAGATCAAAGCAGCGACACATAGGTTGGCTGAATGATTGCGTCGGGTTGCGGTTCTTTTAGGCTATCAGCGCCGCCACTGTTCATGGTTAGGGTAATCACAAGGGTTTGATCTAGTTTCAAGTGCCTCTTCACAGACGAGTGCAGATATCTGGAATTCGGACAAACACCTGAGTATGTTGGCAGTAGAATTTATTAGTTCTAGAGCTACAAGCTCACAGAACATTAAGCCGCACCTGCTTCTGCTTCCGATTCTTAGTATTCAATATCATCCGGGCAGGCTACTTCTAGCTGGATTTCCACAAGCAGCAAAAATGATCACATTCATCAAGCCTAAATTACCATATGATATGTGCTGTTACTAATATAGTGTTGCGACTCCACTCCGTATCTTGGTTTCACTCGTGAGTTTTGATAAACGGTTTGGGTGAACTTTCCACGGGTTGAATCGTGGGTTAAAATCCCGACATTTGCTAAATCTTTTTCGAAGCGCATGTACCGCCTCTCTTGGTTGCCAATCCCTGCTTGTGATATAATTGGAAGAGTATGCTTTTTAGAACTGTTCAGTATCTGGGCGAACGGTAATAGTGATGACTTGTGTGTATCTTATAGGTTGGAATTCTGAGCCTTGCCTGGCTGACGAGAGGATGTTTACAGCAATCTCACGAGTTATTCTTGGGGGAAGAAGAGATGTCCGATTGCCGAGACAGTCTGGCAGTTGGCTTACGAGATTGTGTTGGTATTAAAGTTTCTAGTGTCTGGATTGATCCATCGTTTGTTTGCAGGATGATATGTGGTGCATGACACTAATTTGGGCACTTCTGGTCATGTTCAAGCTTGAGGGCTGCACAACCTGACTAAGGGTATACATAGTAAGCGCTCTTAAAGGACGACGAAGTTGCACGAAATGTGATGACTCCGACCTTGTTCGAAAGAGATTCGAACTTTTTCATGCGGATGTTGCGAGGCAGGTTATGTTTTGATGATTACGTTTGGAAATGTTAGGTGATGATGCGTGTATCGCTGATAAATCCAACAGTTTCTGCGGCAGTTTGAAGGATAATTATTGGAGAATGTTCCGCGGGGTTAAGTACTGACAAGATTTGAAATCTGTTGCAGACATTGCAATTCCTGCATCATCATTTGTTTATCCACAAGTATAGTACATCGAGGGAACTGAACTGCACGTACAGCTTCCGGTCGACTTCGCAAGTGCACAACGATGCCGGAAGTACCTCTTTGGTCCTGGCTAGTTCGAAGACCTATGGTGAACATTCAAATGAATCTACACTCCTTTTTATGAGAACGTGTACGGTCTAATAACACGGATTTTCAACGTGTACAGATACTAATTTACACTCCTACTTATGAGAACGGTGTACCCACGGATTGAAGGTCGCGGTTACATGTGTCAATTGCACAGACTCGCTCTGCAACGGTGGAACAATGGGACCGTGCTTCGAAGTCCTTATTAAAAAGTCTTCGATAGTGTTCAAATCAATTCCCCGAACTACCTTTAAACCGCTGCAGCAGAGGACGGTTTGAGATGTTAAAGATTGTTGTTCAGCTTCCATAATGCCAGAGTGGGACCCACGGTGTAACTTTGTGAATATGTGTAAAGGTCCGTTACCGCCTTCCATGCAGCCTGGGTTGGATGTATGCTGTCAAAGATGACATGATTCGAAGGGTCATTGCAAACCTCATCCCCGCTGCCGCAGTTGCCTTTGCAACACCGACTATACGGTTGGGTAAATCCTGCACCACGCTCAATATTTGTAAGTGAACTCAACAAATGACAGCATCTAATATGTAGTTATTATTCATGAAATTCAGACAATAGTTCATTGAAGGTGCAGCGCGTACCCATTGCAGGCCCGTTTTCGAAGAGGGTGCGAAGAGCTTTGTAAAGGTTTAACATGACAATGTTTGCCCTGCCGCCGTTGAGCGCATCCACTTTCGCTTGCAACTTCTGGTTGTGTAAGTTTGTTTCAGTGTCAAGCAAGTCGCTGGTCACACACTCAGTCTCGCCATTCACGTAGAGAGTTGCAAATGGCATACAGGCCATGGGCGCCAAATCTTCCACCATGATGTGAGTTATGCCGAGCCTCTGAATTCGTTGCAAGGCGGCTCCCATTTTGTCAACCACCGTATCAGCATATGCGCTAACCCCCTGTGAGTCGTGATCACAAAACCTTCTAGGTTACAAAACGAGGATAATTTCAAATACTTTGTTCACTGATTTTCCTGTCATTGTTTGAGGATGTATTTCAGAACAGAAGCGTGAGAGTTTTTTTGCATGATATTTAGAGAGTCACTCTTACCCCGACCCCATTCCCATTTTGATTGTAGTAGGTGTAGTCGTTCACCCCGATCGAGATTAGCGCTACCGATTGTGACAAATGAGATTCTGTCCAGGTCTTTTTCTTCACAAGCGCTTCGAATGCGTCCACTTGCTTCTCCAAGGATCGGTATCCATAGGCATCCGTGACACCAGCTCCTCCCACACCAAAATTTGCACCGCCGTTGTTCGGATTGCCGTTATCGTCTAACCATTCCCATGGTGTCGGTGAGGGTACCCCAAATTTGTCCGCTGCAATATTGGAAGTTTATTTCAGTGTATTATTAATCGTATCAAGCAATCTGATTTGCCTAAACAACTGTGCAACTGATTGAGAATGATGGAATTCCCAGCATACCAATGTAATCGACTTCGTTACGTCCATCTGATGAGCGGTGTGCTGTTCCATCTCCAGGCCAAGTCATGCCATACGGGTAATTCATATTCTCCCCAGTGTCTGCCAAAATTTGCATAAAACCTATCATTGATGCTCTCGACGATTACGTAACGTTTGGAATGTAGAACACGTCGTTCACAGTTTTTGATCACATGAGTTTTTTTCCAAATACTGATATTGGTTGCAGTTATTGTTTCAAGTTGCATTCACCAAAAATTGAAATTTTCAGATTTTGTTACCTGTGTAACTATCTCCGAACACGAAGAGACCTTGTGCACCATCAGTGTACCCTGCATGGAAAGTTGTACATAAGTAATGAAGTTATTTCTGCTAACAGATAGAAGACACCTCTGAAGCTAGAGGCACTAGGATAATTCATAATCTGAGGTGTAATGAGTTTGTTGAGTAAACACTTACTGCAGTTTGTGGTCAGTAGCAGAAGCATGTTCGAGAAAACACATGATAATACAGCTGCAGATCCAGTCCCAATAGTTCGACGTCCAACTGGGTGCGCCATTCTGAATTCTTGCTCGATTGGAACTGCTGTGCTATCCGCGTCCTGATTCAGCGTTGAGATGAATCAGCACAATAGAGCACGATTAAACTACTGGGAGTCCTTTGAAGCTCCGCCGAACTAAGTCCGAGCCGCTCATGACCCGTGATTGGAACTTCTCAAATTGGTGACGATGGAAGAGTCTTTCATCTCGAATTGTTTCAAGTACTGAAGCGCAAAGGATTTATATGCATTGGTGTGTGTGCAGTGAGCTGCGCAAAAAGGTCAGATTGTTCTCTGGAAACAGGTTACTGAAGTGGAGTTGGTGTATTCTAGGGCATTAATATAGATCATTCCATTCAGGTCTTCTTTTGGGAGAATACACCGAGACGTTGCCTTATTGTCGCAAATAGAGGTGGGGTTCAGAAAGTTGGTGCGAAGTGGGGCCGTCGGTGACCTCCAACACACTCAATCGTACCAGACCACATGTCTCTCGATAAAGACTTGTAGTAGTTCAGTTGTATACAAATAGCACCCAACTTGTAGAACCCAGCTGGTGATAATAACTATTTCTTTTCCGTATACAATGGTCTTTCAGAAGGAGAATATTTCGATGACATTTCTAGAAATAGTTAGAGGTTGTATTCTGTTGCGAGCAATATTTGGATGAATTATTTTTGCAGAACACTACACACTGACGACCTAATTTGAACTCGATCGGATCTCGAGAGAAAGATACGGACGAGATTCCTCGATGATTTAAGGCCCACAGCAGATTTCCCAGCCCTGTCATGAAATGAAGATAGAATGAGATGCATGTACACATCACCAAATTAACTCATGTCTCTCATCAATCTCTTGTGCTCTTTTACTAGGCCTTATGCAACTTAACTCACCATTTTGCTTCAAGTTGTTTGATTTATGTTTTGGTGCAAACCTTCAAAGTTACTGTTGCCATGAAGAAATCTAATTAGTGGATAATGCCCGATATTATGTGTACCAAAAGCTATGACTTATCCAGCTCTTAACTAAGACACTGGAAGTGCCCTCCTCTTGGCTTTTAGCACATTTTGTTTGCAACAAATGATGTCCATCCTACTCTTATAATCCATCTGGTATTCGTAACATGATATCAAAGTTGGATGAAAGGTATTGCACATGAATATTATTGGATAGACTTTGGATGAAAATGGATGTTTTTCGTAGATGAAAACTTGGATGATCTACTTGCTATTGGAATTCTATTGCCATTGGGAATGTTGCCAAAGTCAAGGAGCAACTCGAGCTACTGGAGCCTTGTTGGAGCCTTATTAGAGCATCCTTGGAGCTGCTAGAGCAAGAGTTTAATTCTATTGATGTTCATTTTTATTTAATTAAATTCTATTTGTTGCTAGTAGTAACAACAAGCTTTTTTTGCTCCAATAAAGTTTGGTACTACTTCTACTTTCTAAATATTGCATTCTGTAGAACATTTGTTAATTCTTCATCTATAATTATTTGTTGCTATTGCATTAATTGTATTTGGCAATGGCATCTACAATGGATCATTGTATTAATTGATTAGATGAAAAAAACTATGGTACACGGATATTTGTAATGAAATAATTGATGCACATTTATAAGCTTTATATGTATGTAAATAAGACATTAAAATGTCCTATAGGTATTGATGAAAAATTAAAATAGGAATCAAGTAAAGCAGAAGCATAAGCATTGATTGCACTTAATGTTAAGCCTTTGCAATTAACTCATGCACACAAATGTAATATTGCAAAGGAAATATGGGATGTATTGGCTATAATCCATAAATCCTCAAGAGTTATTATTGAGATATTTTTAAAGAATAAATTGTATAATCTTTGATAAATGGATGAAAAATCTATAGAGATTTTTCTTAGAGAGATTTTTGATCTTAGGAATCAATATATTCAAGTCGGTGGTAAAACAAGCAAATAGAACATGACATTACTTATACTTATCACATTACTAGAATGTATAGATCCACTTATTTAATAAATTGCATTAGCAAAAAGAGAAGAGATTACTAAAGAAGTAGTTCAATTTATTTTCCTTGAGGAGGAGATGCAAAGGAAAGAAAAGACTAGTTCTCTATTTTTTGCTTTAGTAGTGTATGCAAGAGGAAAGCAAGTTTTATAAAAAACACCATCTATAGCAAAAACAAAAGCCTAAGATTAATAAGTCTAGAAGTACTTGTAGGACTTATAGATAGAAAAGGCATTGGCAAGGTGATGCAAAATGTTATAAAACAAATAACAATGGTGTAGTAAATACTAGAGTTGCTATTATTCTTTTAACTTGAAAAGCATCATCTAATTAATAACAATGATTGTATTATTATTTCAATTATGGCATAATAGATGTATTGATAATACATCAAATGTGCAGGTCCAAGGAGACAAGAATAAGCTTCTCAATTTTGATGAAAATATGACTATCTAATTTTAAAGCTATAATGGTGGCATTAGTAAATCATAAGGTTTAAATGAGATGCATCTAACAATTTCAGACCCTATAAGAAAATTTATTCTTGTGGTTATGAAGGATGTCTACTAGGTTCTTGAAACATATGATATTTTATTATTAATTGTAACTTTATTATTAAGAAAAATTACAAATTTAACTTGGATGTTAATAGAGTTGATTGGGTTCTACCTTCAAGTGACTTATTCATATGAGACATGTTGTTGTGTTGTAGTTTGGCTACTATGTGAAATAATGTATATAAATATTTCATGTATAATTTACTCAACAATGTGGTAAGAGCTACATTATTAGATTTTAATTAGTCACAAAATATGGTTAGATTATTACTTTGAAGTGGTTAATTTAAAAGGGGTATTATTGAGGTTGATTTTATATTGATAATAATTTTTATATATTTAGAGCTATCTTTATTAGACATTGAGGACTCTTAAAATCTTGTTTTATTTCTTTTATTTGGTATTTAAGGCATATATTATATAAATCTTATAAAGAAAAGAATTGAAGAAGGATTTTGGTAGAAAAAAAAGTAGTTAGAGCATCTATATGGATGAATAGAGATATATGATAAAAATCTCCATTACTATTGGCCAAAAGGTATGCCCAATGGACTTCAAGGAGGCTACTAGAGGCCTTATTAGGAATTAGGGTTATTCTTTCGAGATCACTCGAACCTATGAGGCTAAAATCAAAGAATTTAGATTTTTGGCTATGGTTTTGGAGCAAATTTTGTGTGATTTGGAGTTTTTATGAAAGAGATATAGGTGCTCAAAAGTTAAGGTATTGGTTTTGTATCTATTATCACTCTTTTGGATATAACACATGCATACAAAATGCAATGAAGGTTTGGTAATTAGGATTGAAGAGAGCATTTTTTTTGCTACACTTTTCATATACTATTTGATGAATTCTAAGTTAGAATGAAGGAGTTATAGGAAGTTGAAGTCATTGCTTGCAATCTAAAGGCAGTAAATGATCCGATTTACTAGTGGTTGTGTTTCGAGCCATATTTTGAGCAATTTGATAAGATTTTGGCTAAACATTTCTAAAAATGTGTGTTATTATGTTAATAAACTTTATTAATAAATTTTGTAGCATTTGGACTTTGGGTTTTGAGATATGGAGAAAATAGCTATCAAGTGCTTGTAAATTAGGGTGTAAAGTACTTACTAGGATTTCTAAGATGTCAGATGATCTGTAGTAGATTTATGTCTTATTTTTGTGTGATAAAGCTTAAGAATAAATTCTACATTATCTAGAAATTTGAAAAAAATTGAATAGTTGAATCAAAAAATATGAATTTTTAAAGTTTAGGTAGGAAAAATCCTTTGGAGGAGAAAAAAGTTTTGAAGGGATTTTGCTATAATTTGGACATCTTATGCAAAGTAAAGGGATTTTTAGAAGCAAAGGCTTTATATATGTGTTAAAGATGGAGATATAGAGCTATAGAAAAATTATGATATAAAGATGGATTATTGTAAGAAGATTATAGATTTTCTTTAAACTTATGAGAAATCAAACTTACTGGCAAATAGTTAGTTATGATTTGGTATAGCCAAGGATATTAGGAAATTTTTAAATGCTTTAGAAAGCCTTATGTATAAAACTTCTTAAATACAAAAGGATTTTATCAATAAAATATTTTTTGATACTATTGTGTTTTTTTGGCCTTTATAACAAGAATGCAATATTTATTAGAACTTGTTCAATAAGTTAAAACTAAACTCTCTACAACTAGATACCTCATATGTTTTTAGGTAGAAAATCACACCACACAATAATGCTAATTGATAAAGCTTACTTTATGCCTTACAAAAATTGAAGAAGTTTCTACAATTTCTAATTCATCTACTTTAGATCATACACTTATCAAATGGTATCAAGCATTAATACATGCTTCGATACATATAATATTAGAGGAAAAACATATGAATTATATTAAAGGATTAAAGATCAAGGAAAAGAAGGATAAAATACCTATATATGAATCATGTATTATTAGCAATGCTCATATACAAGCTTTTTCATACAAGCATAAGCATGCCAATGGTATTTTAGATGTAATAGTATTTGACCTTGGTTATGTAGGTAGCATTGATTTAAAAAATATTATAAGTGGTAGTAGGATACATTACACACCTTGGAAAAAAGACAATTTTTATTCAAGGAGATTATGACTTGCCAATTGAAATAATAGATATAATTCATATTGATGAATACGTAGAACCAAAGACTACTGAGCTAGCCATGAATTCATCTTTTTGCAAAGAGTAGAATCATACTATAAAAGAAAAACTTCATTCTTTGAAAGATCATAATATATGGAAATTTTTATTTTTACCTAATGATAGGAAGGTTCTAGATTCAAAATAGTTTTTTAAGAAAAAAAACTTCCTAACAATGGCTCCATTGAATGTTTTAAAGTATGATTGGTTGCAAAGAACTTTACTTAAGCAAAAGATCTTGATTACTAAAAAAAATTTGTACTAGTTGCTTGCCTTATAATAATTTATATAGTTGTTGCAATTTTCACTATTCTTAATTAGAACATGTTGCTATTTGATATTGTTTCAGCTTATTTAAATGACAAATTTAAAGAAAGAGATATTTGTATAAAGATTCTAGAAGGTTTGGAAGTTCTATCAGAATACAAAGGCAAGATGTTGCAATTGCTAAAGAGTTTATATAGTTTGAAGCCATCTAGACATAGATGGATTAAGAGTTTAAATAAATCTTTATTAAATCTTAGTTGGAAGTATTCAAAATCAGACACTTGTTTATACATAATGTACATTGAAAGATTAGTTCTTATACTAATAATCTATATCAATGATGTATTTTTTGGTGGCAAGAACTTTGAGATCCTTG